CTGCATTTTGTGTTTACTTGCATCATCTTTGTTTATTATTGTATCTAATATTTGTATGATGATCTGAAACACAACAAGTGTGACGAACATAAAAAATGGAAAGTCAGGAAGGGGGCAAACACTTTTTCACACTACTGTATTCACAGATGGAAAAATGTGACCATTTCTTTTCATTCTTGCTTCTGGATACATGAAAAATACAGCCTGAAGCTATTCTGTAGCTGAATGTGAAGAAGCACAACACGACTTGCTTTGTGCTTTGTGCTGCTCTACCAGCAGTTTTATGTGCAGTAATCATGCAGTCCTTATTAGATAAAACCTTTTATTGTGATGAGAAGAAACAGGAACACACTGCAGAACAAGTCGGCTTTCCACGTGCAGCCTGGGTTCTGTCATATTTATACTGTTCCATTTGTGAATGTGCACGTAAGCCCTGTGAGTCCAAAACTCAGGCCTTGAAACTCTTTACATCAGGTTTTCCATTCTTGTTGTTCTGTGATGTCAGGGTGAACACAGCGGCCCGGGCCACCTGATGCTCAGATATTCTGTTTGTGAGGGGCAGCCAATCAGAAGAAAGTCAACTTAAAGTTTGAGGAAGCGAAATTGCCTGAAAGAGACAGAGTATTGACTCAGACTACACCAAAACCCAGCATAAGACAAATAAGGATTATTTTGAACTGTTATTCATGCAAAGCTATACTAGTAGAATCCGGGAATAAAAACATGGAGCTGGAAAAAAAACATAATAATTCTCTTGACGCATCATGTAATTCTGTTATATGTGACTGAACCATCAAGCTTTTTAATCATAACCCGATTTTGACTTAGAATGACTAAACAGAGTGAGGATAATAATTTCTTATTATACATTTATCTACTCTGAAAAGCCTGATGCTGGTGACACTGTTCACTCAATGCTGATAATAACAACAAACTGTAGACTGTATAGCCGTCAGTAAATCAAGTAATCACCTACAGATAACCAAGCTGCAGGTGTTACCTGCTCTGGGCTAAATGCACAACTGTATTCAAAGCTAGCTTGTTGACTGCCTTTCCAGTTGTTTGTTTCTTCCTTGAAAACAGCTGCCTGTAGATAAGAATGATGAGACTGAACGAGATCAGTTGGGGGGCTTAAACCAAAACAGTGAGCTGAAAGATGCTAAAATGTTCTAAAGAATGCAGTCGACTGCAGTGAATGATAATTATACACTTTGACCTGATGTTATTGTGAACACGTTAAGTCAAGCATCTCTAACATCATAAATGCAGTGTTGGCTATGACATTACCTGCAAGTCAAAGATGATGATCAATGGATCCACGTATTACTGAGACAGTCGCACGTGGAGAACATATCAAAATAGTAAGTGAAGTACTCAAAAGTTTGTATTTTGAAGATGTCCACACTGCTATTCTTCAGCATTACTCATTACAAACCAGGAGCCATGGAGCGCGACAGAGACAGCATGTGATGATGCTGGGATGGTTTACTTTGGCGTGACGTGGAATTATACATCCAGTGTGTGCGGAGACTGTGACAACACTAAATCTTACTAAATGTAAGTAGGCATCCTGCTTGTTCTCTTGTGAGTCACAAACACACACTTGAATCCCACTTATATAACTGCAAGCTGTTTGGATGGTGCTTCGTGGAGGATCTACTTATCAGATCCATTCAGAGTTTGTATGTTTTTTTTCTAGACTGACTTCCACCTGTGTAATTTCCTATTTCCTCTGTGGCATTCAGCACCAAACCATTTGGCTAAAAACTAAAAGTCATATTTTAAAAGGGCAACACCATCTTTTAAACAGATGGTGTCTAAGGTTTTAGTAAAAGTTACTCAAGCAAGAAAAGTCGATGAATTTCTATAAATTTGGTGGCATAGAGGGCATTTCTGGCTAAATATAAAGTATATAAAATAAACTACACCATAAACAGTGTGACAAACTTTTTTTAACTTTAGGACACAAAGAAAGCTTAAAGAAATGAAACATATCACAAGTTGGATACACAGTAATTCCTAGTTGGAGTGTGGCTTTGGTTTTCATGAGATTTGTTGAAATTACAAAAAAAATATCACAAGCTGTCTTCTGTATTTATTTTTGCCAAACAACTCAGTTTTGACTATCTTGGAGTATTTGGAGCGTAGATGGACTACGCAGAAAACCTGGACATACCTTCCAGGTCACAAAGGTGAAAGCTATGTGGATTTGCCTTAAACCCACATTCTTTTTAATGGTAAACTTCCAGATGAGTTTTTGGTTTCAGTTGAGACAACATTTCCGTTTTGTAAATTTTGGTCCCACATTAAAGTAAAAAAGAAGACCAAGCCAGAGTGCCATACAGCCAGTGTTGGGGAGTAA